TATATATATATTCTTGGATCTTTAAATAAAGACTATCAGTCCAACTTAAAAATATCATATCGAAAAAAAAAAAGGAAAAATGAGAAAGAATATTTCTATTTTTATTTTGAAATTTATATTACAATAATAATAAAAATTGTACGACTCACTAAAATATGAACTTTGAAATTGTAACTTTTTTTAACAGAGTAAATATTGTGTGCATATAATATAAAATTTACATTATCATTTTTTCACAAATAGTCTTGTATGATAAATTTGTTATATATGTTGTTTTATTTTGTATCTTTGATGTACATGACTTGGGTTGTTAAGAGGTCAAGACTTTCTATGTGGGAAAGAACAGTGTCGTAGATGTTTCAATGTCACTACAGTAATAAGTATCATTAACAGTAATTATTTAGCGGTAATAAAACAATTACCTGCATATCATTATTAATTAAAGTATTTAGTGTCGTAGATGTTTCACCGTACTGCGTTTACAACTGGTAATGCCCAATGCTAGAAATATTGAGAATAATTTGTATATTTGTTATTATATGAATTTATTTTCTAATCTATAGATATTTATTTTTTTGTTGGTAGTAACTTGTGTTTTCCGATATAAATACTCATCGCAATAACTCAATTATGAAAAATTGTGAGACAAGTCTATGCAACCCAACACAATTTATGGAAGAGAAAATTGTATTTGGTTCATTTTCGTTGTGATTATTTTTCATACCCAATATAGTTTATCTGATCTTGTTAAGGTCCATTGCAGTGGATGTATATAATTTCTTACCCCCATTTTTAATTGGCCGCAAGGTGATCAAGTGAGCATTCCTCTAATTTTTTTGTTCTATCTTCAATCCGGTGCAAATGCAGATTAAATCGAGAATGATGGGAGATTCTAGTTACAAAAGCACTCTTGATTGTTTTATCAAAACATTAAAGAATGATGTAAGTTACTTTCCACTATTATCGATTTGTTCTCTTAAGTTCATCTACCATCATTTTGCTTTAGCCACAAGTTACAATCATTAGTTGTGTGGATCCTTTGTCATTTCATAGCTATGGTGGATAAAATTCTTTGTAGCATTTGATCACTTCCCTTGGATTGCATAGCTATGGTGGAAAATAAAGGTCCTTATCTCTCTTCATTCTGTTAACCTGAATGGAGTAAAACACCTTTTTAGGAAGAAAAAAATGAAAGTGAACCGGGTATATTTTATTCAAATATACTAGCTTTTATTCAAACACCGATTTGTTGGTTTTTTTGCAAGGCAAAAGATTAGCTGAATTAAAATCTGGTTGTTTAATGGAAATTGGTTAGTGTCTTTAAATAAACTTCTCTATAAATACTTATAAGAGAAAATATGAAGAAAAAAATGAAAGATGTTTCTTCACAAACCAAAATTAGTTTATTTACAAACTAATTTATAGAAGTTCTCACATACTAGTTTTTATAGTTTTTTTAAACTATGCGGTATCGAGGCGACAAGTCATTCTGGTGGGATTTGGTTGCGCGGGATAGTGGTTTGATAACAACGGAGGTTTCGTCCTTTCCTCAAGCGATCACTCTCCGCATCTTGCATGGGTGCAAGTCTTGGCTTTGTACTGCTATGTATGCAAGTCCCTGTTTCTCTTGTCGTATTGTTGTTTGGGATCATCTTTGAAATTTACCGCATTTCTCATCTGAACCATGGTTGTTATTTGTTGATTTTAATGAGATAATATCGCCTTTTGAATGCAGGGGTGGAAGTTTCTCCTTTGCACGTGCTGCTAACTTCATCCATATGATCGAAACTTGTCAATTGATTGATCTAAGGGCCAAGGGGCATTTATATACCTGGTATAGAAGCCAGTTGGGATCATACCTGGCTAAAATTGTTCAATGTGTACCTCGAGTTGGCAACTTTTGTTTCCTGAATCCTTTGTGGAGAACTTGTGTAGAGTGTATTCTGATCACTATCCTCAGCTGATTCGTTGTGGTGGGTGGCCAAGCAAACAAGGTGAGAGGTCATTTCGTTTTCAGGGGGCACGGGCTACACACATGGGTTTTGAATGGGTGGTTAGAGATGCTTGGGAAAGAAACACTCCAAGCCTTATTAATAGGCTAAATGCAGTTCGCCAAGATGCTATTCTTTTCAATAAGAATGTGTTTGGGAGTATCCTAAAGTGGAAGAAAAGTGGATGAGATCCTTCTTCAAGAAGAGTTCTTATGGTTCCAAAAATCTAGAGAAAAGTGGGTTTGTTTTGGAGATCGTAACACCAACTTTTTTCACGCACAAACGCTAGCCCAGAGACAAAAGAACAAGATTTGAGGGCTTTTTATTGCAGATGGGTCTTGGCAAACCGATCCAGGCATTATGCAGACGAAGACATTACGTTATTATAAAAATTTGTTATCTTCAAATTCCACAAACTCCTTAATGGATATGCAAAATGGTGTCCCTCCATAGTTGGGTGTAGAGGCTGTTGCAACTCTCACTACTCCGATAAGTAAGGAAGAGGTTAGGAGGGCCATTATGGGTATGAAGTCTTTTAAAGCCTCGAGATCGAATGGTTTCCAACCTTTTTATTCCTACAAACAATATTGGCCTATAGTGGTGATGAACTTTGGAAGTTAGTTGATAGTGCTTTCATGAATGGCTACTCAAATCCTTCTCTTCTTGAGACTCTAATCGTACTTATTTCGAAAGTGGATAATCCAGCTTGACTAAAAGATTTTTGTCCAATCAGTTTATGTAATGTGTCTCTTAAGGTTATTTCGAAGGTCATAGTGGCTACAATTCGTCCTTTTTTAAATTACCTTATTGGGTCTTTTCAAGGAAGCTTTAT